TCTTATGATTTGGGGGTTTATTTTTGGGGGTTTGTTTTGGTTATAGGGAAATTCTAGCGGCAAGCACCTCACACGATTAGACCCTGCTAATTGTCTTATCACCGAATACAATTAAAATTTTATTCTACTCGGAGGAGGAAAAAATATTGGTGATTCAAGTTGTGACATTCTCTCTAAAGAGCCAGGATTTGAGTTCATGATTACAGAAAGATCTCCAGCTGAAGTAAGAATACTTCTTAAAATTTTCTTTCCATTTCAAGGAAAATAAACAATAAAAAATCCCCCACCAAAACAAGCCAAACCTGAAAGCCAGAAAGTCTCCTTTGAGCTTTGAAAGCCTGTAAGCCCATTGCATTAAGGTCTGATTAGTAGTTTCCTGTTACTTGGGTTTGTCAGTATTGAAGGGAAAGGTAAGACATCCTCATGGAAGGCAAAATTATTCTTAATTAGGATAATTAAAATGTGGCTTAATGAACCTCCTACAGGATACACTTATGGAACTATACAAAGATATAAAATCTTGACAATAGGTGAGGTTATATGATCTCCTAATTTTTATCTGACAACAAAATGGCATCCAGCAGGAACACATATTGCATCTAAGGCTGATGCTGAAACACAGTCAGGACATTTTTAGATGGTTAACAAATCTCTGCTGACCCAATTGCTGCAACTTGTCAACATTTATCTTGGCTCTGCAGTGGTAGAATTCACATCCTTTAATTGAAGTAAACAACTGAACTGTAAAAATTCATTAGAGTGATTCAAATACATATTAGAGGCAGAAATTAAATAATTAAAAATTAAACAGATTCTGTTGAACTATAAAGTATGCAACAGAAAGAAAGAGGTTTACAGGAACAAATGGGTTAAAAGTTTGATCTACCAAAGCTTGTATCAAAGATGTTGCACAATGGTTTGATTTACCAGTCCCCACTCTCTTCTGCTATTAACTGGTACCACTAATTGTTGATCTGTACCCCCGTGATGCCTGTAAGACCTCCCCAGTCCATGTCAGCTTTCCAATGCATCTGAGGCACTGCCGTTACCAGCTAGAACTGTCTCCCACTGACAGCCCAGAGCAGGATGCAAGGGAGATATCTGACCTTCCTGATCTCTTCTGTTGGAAAGAATTGGCATAGGTTGAGGCCCCAGACTTATCCCACCAGCTTTCAGAGCTTGGGAGACCATAGGCAAAGGACAGGATTAGTCACAACAGCAAGCAGGTCTGGATTGAATAGCATTTTTCTTTTACTGCGGAGCTGTCTAGTATCTCCTCACAAGAGCTGAAGGTAGAAACCAGGCAGGGAAATCACCAGCTCCACACATCTCATGAACTATGGTCTGTCTACAAACTGACACCTTAATTTTCAGAATTTTGGTTTGGTTGTTCACATAACAGTTACTTGCTTTCAATCATGAAAGCCACAGACTCAATGTCATATTTCTCCCCCAGCCCCAAATTACACTCAAGTTGCAAGTTTCTTGACAGAAATTCTACTCTCACCAAGAACAAACAGATAGAAGGAATGACTAATTGGTCAGTGATTTTTTTCTGCACATCCAACTACTTACTGCACTTCCTAAAATACCGAATGTCTTCAGTCGTGTACATGTCTGAGTAACACACATGGAAGTCCATGAAATGTACCCAGTTAGAGCAGACCTGAGCACCTACTACATCTACTAAAAAGAACTGTAATTAAAGGCTACTGAAATATTACAGCATTCCAAATTGATGCCAGGTTAAAAAGCTACTTTTAGAGGCTAGTTTCACTGTATGTTAGTGGAAATGTACCACAGCAGTTTTGTGTAAGTCCCTCATGTACAGCTGTCATTACGTGGCACACAAAAGTGGTGACTATTTCACATCAATGTCGCTTCTAATAAACAGGCTGCTGACAGGTTTATAGCACCTGCATCTGTAACAGCTTCCTTTCCAGCCCTGTTCTGTGGCCTTGTACCCTGTGCAGCTTGCATAGGTCACATGGGGCTGCAGGTCCCCACTTGATGACTTCCTTTAAAATGGATTATACTGTGCCCTTCCACAGGAGGCAAACCCTTTAAAAGTGCCCTTCAATGAGTGCTCAGCATTCAGCCCATTTCCTCGTTGGCCTTACTAGAACTGCAACACAAACACCACAGCCCTACAAAAAAGGATGATGTGGACATTCAGGTGGATAAAACCCCCACAAATATTCTACGCATGAAAGTGAAAGATAAGTTCAACATTTGCATATTTGTTTTTACAAAATCAGAAGAGCTAAGGACTAACTTTCAACTGATACTCCACTCTCTTAAGCAAAAAAAAAGTTACCAAGGGACAAATTTATTACTGACCATTAAAATGTGATTTAATCTGTGATTCTGTGTGAACAAAGTAAAGGTTTCACTTTTCTTCAGATAAGCACTGGAAGCACCACACATAATCTCTCAGTGAGGTTATTCTTTGGAAAGAGGACTGCTCGTTCCCCAAAGGTACCATGTTGTGTTGTGTGACCACAGTTCAGTGTCCTCACCTGCCTCCAAGCCTGGCAGAGGAGCAACAGGGCTCTGGCTAAGACAGCATTTGAAACACAAATGCAAACAAGACTGTAGGATATGAAATGCCATAAAGCTAAATACAGAGACTTTTTAGGAACAGCAGGTCAAGTTACCCAGCAGCACAAAGGGCCTCTGTGTTTGGGAACCTGTCTGGATAGAGATACCATGTGTGTCTTCCCTGCAGCTCAACTGCGGGTACAGTTCATGGGGCTCTGTTAGCAAAGCAGACACTGCCTGCCACCAGACTGTCATACAAGCCTGATAATTGGGCTGGAGATGGGAGGAGGAGTGAACAATTAACAACTTGCCTAGCAAATGAGAATTGAATTTAAACAAAAGATGGCTTTTCCTCTGTTCCAAAACACAGAGTAATAGACAGGAGATTCAGAGATCCCTTTCTTCTGTAATTCTATTACCCCGTGCTTCCAGCTGTTTCAGATACCTGGAGGACGGGACCAGAGTTGAGTTTCTCAGCTTTTCTGACTTGTATTAATTCTTAACCTCTCCCTGTTCCTTTCAGTGCCAGGCTACTTGGCAGTATGATCTGTCCAACCCCAGAATCCTCACTAATGCCAGCAGTTGTGATTCCACAGTCACAGCACGAGTGACTCTGTGATCCACACAGCAGCTCTCCAGTCTCCCTCCAGCGCTGTGCATCAAAATGGATGTTGACAAACTGCAGTAAATGTTAGTAAAATTTGTTCAGTGTCTCCTAAGTCCTCTTGAAAACTGTGTACACAGAAATTCAGACAGTTTACTCCACTGCACTGTAGAGCTGGCGCTGCAGAGTCGTTTGCAGAAAGGCAAACAAAACGCAGAACCTTTTCCTGGCAGATATAGGTCACAACTGAACCACTGAACTGAACATGTTTGATTTAACCAAGTTCTGCTGCACAAATGAAAGCTTCGGGACATCACCTTATGCCTGCGGGGGAGGAGGGGGGTGAGGAAAGACCGTATCAAAAATAAAAGCAGAGGAAGTGCCACAAATGCTTCCACTGCACCAAACCTCCCTGCGATTGGCCGGGGAGCTGTTGCTACACAAACTCTGCCTGCTCCTACCACACGTAGTAAGAAGCCCTGTTACAACAGGCCAACTCACAGCATGGAAAACTGTCCCAAAATAGGATCCCAAATGGCCATCCCCGCCTCAAGCTTAGAAGAACAGTAACAAGCTTGCTTGAGAACCTAAAACTCCCTGTGTGCAGGCAGAAAATTGTAGTCTACAGACATTTCATGCTAAGCCTAGCAAACTTCTGTTATAATAGTTCTCGTTTCCAAAGCAACAGAACATGGTTCAAATTCCTGCTGGGGTATTGTCCGATAAAAATCCTTTTAAACTGCGTTGTCATTGTGAGAAGGAAAGCTGGGAAACAAAGGTGAGGCAATTTCAAAAGGTACTAAAGTGAAAGCAGAAAGTAAATTAAACCCCCCTCCTAAAAAAACAAACCTAGCCTTGGGTTTATGACTAGAACACCATTACAGAGGTTTGTTTTGGTTTTTTAAATAAGGAAAAAATTGTTTTCCCTTTGTGACCTGCATATTAAAATCAGCACTGACAAAAGTGTACCTGAGGGTCTAAAAGTCTCACCTGTCCCAGCAGTAACTCTTTTCATTGGAAATCCAGGGTGTGCCCTAGCCCAGGGAGAAGTGATGCAAAAAAATGAGCTGCTTTAAGATATGAAATGGAAAAGCTAACATCCCACCTCTTCAGCCCCTATTCTAATGCAAAGCAATGTTGAATTTGGAGCAAACCCCAGAATAAAATAATAAAATTAACAACTGTAATGTCGTGAGAACTGATATGCTGGAGCAAGCCCTGAGAGGCCCCATGCAATTCAGTAATACCCTCTGATCATAAAAAGTGATGTTAAAGTGAATGATCCTAAGTAACAGGCCAAGCTACTGAGAAAATCTCTTATGTATAATTAAAAAGACTAAGTTAATAAGGATGTCTCATTAGTTCAGGTCTGTCAGTAAAACAATTGTTACAACTTTAGGTGTCAACTTCAAAACCAGTATTAATGTGAAAGTGTTCAGCAGAAAGTGGGCCTTAAACAGCCACCACTAAAACCTGATTAATTTGTGGTGAATGGGAAATTCCTTCTGCAATTACGAAAAGTAATTGGCCAAGAAGTCACAGGCCCTTCATCAGAGGAGTCGGTTACACATGGAAATGTGAAGACATGCATTTTTGGGGGGTTGCGACAATACACATTGGATGTATAAAATAAATAATTGCATGTACAAACATGTTACCAGTAAACTGAATTCTGGAGTTATGCCTAATGCAACCGAGCCAACAGAATTTTGTTTCCTTGGAAGTTGTGTTTGTACATGAAGCGTGGTTTGAAGCCCACCAAGGAAAAAAGAAAAGCAACCCAAATGAGAACATAGTGACCATCACAAAGAGCAAAGGACTGAGGCAACTACTGGTAACCCTTCCCCTTTCTTACCACACCCAGCAGACAGTCAGAGGCAGGAATGCTGGCACACACTCAATTGCTTCCCTGCTAACTTCAGTGGCCTTGGCAGCACAGACAGGCAATTGCAGCAAACTCTCTGATGACCTGAGAAATTCGTGCACTTCTGAAGACAGAATCCAGTTTTAAACGTGGAACTGGAGAGGCCAATGATACCTTATTTCAAATACAAATATATTAATGCATTAGGAAATTAAACAATAATGATGCTTCATTTTTGCTCAGCAATAACTTAAGTAAAATGTGAAAACATAACGTCTGTAAGACAACTGCAGCCTTCTTTCCTAGTGCAATCTGTAGCACTGACAGTTTTTTCAGACAGTAGGCTCTTCACCACCATCACAAGAAGTATGTGTGTGGTTTATATTTTTTTTTTAAGGCACTGCTCCACTCAAGTGTTTCAACACGTACCTGCCTTGGATGAAAACAAGTTTGCAAGTTATACAGAATAACCACTTCCCAGCTGAATTATGGAAACTGTTGGTGCCACACAAAATGAATTACCTTAAACCACTTTTGTGGTTAAGATTTACCATGTTACCTTGCATTGGACACAGAGGAACAACATGCTCACTACCATCTCTTCTGACCAGCATCTGTTCTTCCAAATGTAATACCATTACCAGAAGCAGCAGGATATCTTTATCTTTTCAAAGGTAACATACATATCTAGAGCTTGGACACAGGGCATCACTACCATTAAAGCACAGCTACTTAAGAGCTGTGCTCTATTAACCCACAGCTAAAGCATTTTACCTTTCTGTTTTCAAGGAAACACAACTATGTGCTGTTCATTCACTAGCTGCATTCAGCTACTGTGCTGAATACACAAAAATTTCAGTAACCCAGTAACATGGCCAAACCCTCAAGAATTAGTGTCCTAATGATTTGAATGGTGTTCTCACTCATCAGTCACATTAAAAAGTTACGTTCCTGTGCTAAGGCACAGTAAAATGACTGTAGCAGCCAGGCTAGGGCCAGATTTGACTGTTTCAAGTTTTAGAAACCTCTTGGGAAGCCTGGACACTTGTTGAGTTGGTGAACCCCTGAGTTTCTATTTGGGTACTGTTGTACTCAGTCCAGCTGGATTAAAGCTAACTGGAGATACGCCTTCTGAACATAGCAAAGACATAGCCTCAGGCTCCCCAGACCTTTAGGGAGGATGTCCTCACTCCCAAGCTGAACAAGCTATTTTTGGATTATACAAAATGGATGTCAACAGACCTGCTGTAATGAAATGCTGGTTAAAAACAGCACCTGTCTTCAGCAAAGAGATAGCTGGCGATGGCTTCCACAGATGTTCCTAAAATGCTGTCCTGCTCTAATCCTTTTTTTTCGAAGGTTCTTCATGCATCCAGCTGTCTGGGGAAGAGAAGGAGAGTGTGCACATGACAGAGTGACATTGGGTGGAGGTGGAGAAGAAAACAGTCTTACATAACAGAGAGCTGAGTTCTGCATCTGGAAGCAACTGTTCTCTCTTATTTCCATCCTTCTTTTTTCACTGTATTTCACACCTGCCTCCCCTCCCCTTACACTCCAGGGTCTGGAGGCACACACTGCACAGTGTCAGTGTAACACACAGCACAGTGCCAGTGTGAAACACAGCACAATGACAGTGGGACACACAGCACAGTGACAGTGGGACACACAACAGAGTGACAGTGTTAACATACAACTTAGTGACAGTGGGACACACAGCACAGTGACAGTGGGACACACAACAGAGTGACAGTGTTAACATACAACTTAGTGACAGTGGGACACACAGCACAGTGACAGTGTGGCAGAACTGGGACACACGGCAGGGCTGGCAGCGGAGGGATCCTCAGGGTCTATGTGTGCAGTGTCATATATCAGACAGCTGATATATGCCAACTGAGCTGCAGAAAAACACAGCTGTCAGAGTAAACAATTTAGTTCTTTATCCTGTGTGCATGCAGACCTCATAACTGCACAGTTTGTTGGAAAGGCAGACGCGCTGCCTTACCCACAAAGTGCAGTGAGCAGGGTGAAGCCGTGTAGGCCCGGCTGCCATGAACACAGAGCGTGAGACAGAAAAAATCAAAGCTCAATTAAGACAGACCTGGCAAAAGAGAAAAATACTCCACAAGGGAAGAACAAAGGGGGCGATATAAACGACCGCATTCACTATTCCCGCCCCCGGTTCCACCTCATCCTGCCCGGAACCCGGCAACACCGCCGTGCGCGGGCAGCGGGGGCCGCCCTGAGGGGAACCCGCCATGGCACCGCCGGGGCCGCCCCGCACAGCCGGGCTGCGGCTGCCCACACCTGAGGGGAACCCGCCATGGCACCGCCGGGGCGCTCCTGCCCCCGGGCCGCCGGCAGCAGGGACAGGACGGGGCTGCCAACACCCCGCCACTGCTTCCCTGCCTTCAGTGCATCAAGGCGGTGGCACCGCTGGATTGCAAAACATTCCAAACGTCTCCCTTGCAACACCAAGGGGAAACCATAGAATAGGAAGGAAAGGAAAGCTGGGCCAAAAGCCAAGGGGGATGAAAGGGAAACCTGAACAAAGATACTACTAAGCCTTGGGCTTTGCAATAGCCTCCAACGTGTCAGGTGAAACATTAGGATGAAACAATCTACTAAACGCTGCGACATCGAAAGTGCCATTTGCATAATTTTGCAAATACACAAAAATATTTTAAAAAGCAGTCCTATACATTTATTGAAGGGATTTGATAAGTTGCTGACAGAACCAGTTTCACGTCTGTGATGTTCTTCATGCTTCCTGGATGGGGGTGCATCTCCCAGCACTTGGGGCTGCCACACAGCTCCTGTCACGGCAACTTCTAGATTGGCTGCATTAATTTGGAGTCTGATGTTGCTGGTTTTGCCTTTGGGATGTCCACGATGCTTCCTGGCCGCTGTTGCACCTCCCAGCCCTTGGTGATCTCACGTGGCTCCTGTCACAATGACTTCTGGACTGGCTCTGTGTACTGGGGGTCTGATATTGCTGCCAGAAGTGGTTTCGCTTGCAGGATGTCTCTGTTTGTGCCCGGCTCTGGAGTCGCCTCCACTGCCTGCTCTGGGCTGTGTGCGGGGCAGTAGGAGCTGGGGGGAAAAGGGGTGGGTGAGCTGAGAAGTGCTGGGCCCTTCCCTGGTGCTGGCAAGGAGGGGACAGGAGGTACCTGTACGGTGGAATGAACTGGGTGGCACAGCCTCCCTGCTTGGCACAGGGCAGGTGGAAGCTCAGGTCACAGACTGTTTCCCAGCAGGAGATGGTGGCTCCGCTCTGGCCACAGATGCAGCAGCTCTGGAAAGAGCAGAGCAGCCCCATCAGCTGCAGCCTCAGGGCCTCCTCCTTGTCCCAGAGCTGGTTGGAAGGGCTGGGCTTTCTTGCTTGGGGTCTGGGCTAAGCTCCAGCAAACCTGGCCTGGCACAAATCTCCCTGCTCTTCTCAGGCTCTCACCTTCTGTGCTTCCCGGGAGACTACATCTAGGATATCCCTTGGGAGAAAGCCCTGGAATCCTACTTGATCATCATTGTGCAGAGGAAGGTGGCTGGCAAAAACCTGTAGAAAAAAGGACACGTACTGATGAGGAGAGAGTGGCAGGGACTACCTGTCAAAACATGAAGCAACTCACCCGGCAGAACTCGTGGAAACAGAGCCCATTTATCTGGTTTTTTTCTCCACACGTCCGGGTCAGCCTCTGGTCGTCCACACAGCTGGCATGCTGGAGGGGAGAGAGACCATGGCACCTCTGCCAGGCTGGGGCAGCTTCCCTGCAGGATTGACCCCAAGGGCTGCTCTGTCCCTGCCTGGCTGGCTGAAGGGCAGGGCTGGAGGCCTTGGGGAGGACAGGACATTGTGGGCATGGGTGTCCCAGCAGGTGTCCCCTGCCCCAGCTGGACCCCGCTTGCTGAGGAAAGGAGGGTCCCAGCCCCGGGATGCCTGGACAGCTCCTGCCTCCCCGTGCCACTGCTCCTGGCCCCACGCTGGCCGCCCCGACAGCCCCTCTGCCAGGCTGCGGGAGGGGCACTTTGCTCTCACCTGGCTCCCTCCCTTCGGGTGCTCCTCCTCCCTGTCTGACGTGGGACGTGTCAGCAGTGGGTCCCTGTCTCACCGTCCCACTGGTGAGTGGAGCTCCCAGCACTGGGTGCTCTAACACGGCTCCTGTCACGGTGACTTCAGGATCTGCTGGATGAATTTGGGGTCTGACACTGCTGGTGGGAGCGGATTCGCCTGCAGTCAGGACTCCGACTGCTGGAGCAGCTGCTGTCCTCAGTTGCTGGGAAGCTGCTCTGGGATGACCCCAATGTTACCTGACTGTCAGGGCTGGAGCGGCTCGTCTTTTGTGAGAGGGATTTCAGAGTCTCCTCCGATGTTGCCTGTCGGTTTGTATGGAGTTTGCTTGTACTGAGGGTGATGGTCTCGTATTCCTTGGTGTTGTCAGAAGAGTCCTTCATGAGAGCAACAAGCTCTGGGTCTTAACTGGACGCTGTAAGGGGAAGCAGGAGGGTCAAGGCCACTCCAGGCCCTGGATAAGATAGGCCAGAGCAGTGTCTCCAGTCCTCCTGGAGCAGACAGGCTCTGCCAAGCCAACCCTGGACACCCGTTGCCAGGCCCAGGGGCACCAGGCCCAGGGTCATCAGGGTGCTTTGCCTTTTACCTGTGCCCAGGCCAGCACAGCCATCACATTCCCAGCTGGTTATGATGTCCCTCAGGCCAGAGCAGTGCCTGGGGGTGCCCTCGGCAGCACAGGAGGAGCACAGGAGCAGTTCCCAGGGCCTGGGGAAGCAAACGGGTTCATGGAGGTGCTGAGCTCTTCTCCTGGGTCCTTCTGCTTCAAGCCCTGCAGAGCCCTGGGGTGCAGCTTTGGGAACTTACCCCTCCTCCTCTGCCTCCTGCCTGCTTCCTGGAAAAAGGCACTCACTGGCATCGCAGTGCCTGTGTCTGTCTCCTAGCTGGGCAAATGCATTAAAGCCCTCCCCTCATGGTGGTCTGATGGGAAAAGGAAAACTGATGAGCTCCCTCTGTCCTGGCATCGGGCAGGTGCAGGGTGTCCCTGCTCTTCCCCCTGTGCCATCCCAGCAGGAGATGGTGGCCCCGCTCTGGCCACAGATGCAGCAGCTCTGGAGAGAGCAGAGCAGCCCCATCAGCTGCAGCCTCAGGGCCTCCTCCTTGTCCCAGAGCTGGTTGGAAGGGCTGGGCTTTCTTGCTTGGGGTCTGGGCTAAGCTCCAGCAAACCTCTCCTGGCACAAATCTCCCTGCTCTTCTCAGGCTCTCACCTTCGGTGCCACCCGGGAGACTACATCTTGGATAACCTCTTCGGAGAAAGCCCTGGAATCCTACTTGATCATCATTATGCAGAGGAAGGTGGCTGTAGAAAAAAGGACACGCACTGATGAGGAGAGAGTGGCAGGGACTGCCTGTCAAAAAATGGAGGGAGCCCATGAAGCAACTCACCAGGTAGAACTTGTGGGCACAGATCCCATGTTTCTGCATTTTCTCCCCACAGATGTCTGGGTCAGCCTCTGATCTCCGACACAGCAGGCATGCTGGAGGGGAGAGAGACCATGGCCCGGGCATGGCACCTGTACTGCCTGCCCTGACAGCCCCTCTGCCAGGCTGAGGGAGGGGCACTTTGCTCTCACCTGGCTCTCTCCCTTCCGGGCCTCCTCCTCCCTGTCTGACGTGGGACGTGTCAGTGGTGGGTCCCTGTCTCATCGTCCCACCGGTGAGTGCACCTGGCAGTACTTGGTGCTCTATCACGCCTCCCGTCACGGCGACTTCTGGATCTGCTGGATGAGTCTGAGGTCCGACGCTGCTGGCGGGAGTGCTGTTGTCTGTGGGAAGTCCTTACTGCTGTCTCCCTTGAGTTTCGCCTGCCAGCACTCGGTGCTGGCGTGCAGTTCCTGTCAAGGGGACTTCTGGACCGGCCGGATGGATTTGAGGTCCGACTTTGGCGGCGGGAGCTATTTCGCCTGCGGGATGTCCCCGATTCTTCCTGGCTGGGCCTGCGCCTCCCAGTACTTGGTGCTGGGACATGGCTCCTGTCACGGCGACTTCTGGACCGAAGGTGTGGATTTTGCGGCCGACGTTGCCGGTGGGAGCGGTTTCGGCTGTGGGATGTCCCTGATGCTTCCTGGCTGGGGATGCGGCTCCCAGCACTTGGTGTTCTCACACAGTTTCTGACACGGCGACTTCTGGACCGGCCAGATGGATCTGGGGCCTGATGTTGTTGGCGGGAGCGATTTTGTGTTCGGGATGTCCTTGATGTTTCCCGGCTGCGGCTGCTCCTCCCATCACTGGGTGCTCTCACCTGGCTCCTGTCGTGGCGACTTCTGGACCGGCCGGATGGATTTGGGGTCTCACGTTGCAGGCGGGAGCGGTTTCGCCTGCAGGATGTCCCTGATGGTCTCGGCCTGGGCCTGCGCCTCCCAGGACTTGGTGATGGCTCATGGGTCCTGTCCAGGGGACTTCTGGACCGAAAGTGTGGATTTTGGGCCCGACGTTGCCGGCGGGGGTGGTTTTGTCGGCGGTCAGGCCCCCGACTGCTGGAGCTGCTGCTGTCCTCACTTTCTGTGAAGGTGCTCTGGGATGACCCCGATGTTACTTGACTGTCAGGACTGGAGCTGCTCGTCTCCTGTGAGGGATATTGCAGCGACTGCTCCCATGTTGTCTGTCGGTTGGTACGGCGGTTGCTGGTCTGTGGTCCTGAAGATCCAGGGGCTGGCACCTGGGCGCTGGTGCTGGGGCTGATGGTGTCCAGTGGTGCAGAACTGGGAGACAGCCCTGATAGCACCAGGCTTCCTGTGTTGGGGCTGATGGTCTGGGGTTCCCTGGAGCCATCACAAGGCTCCAGTCCTGACTGTCTGGCCACACCGACACCAGCAAGACCTGACTCATCTCGGGAGGCTGTGAGGAGGAGCAGGAATGTCAAGGCCACCCCAGACTTGGAGCAAGATAGGCCAGAGCAGTGCCTCCAGCCCCCCCTGGAGGGAGGTTTGGCTCTGCCAAACCCACCCTGAGCACCCACTGCCATACCCAGGGACACCAGGCCCAGGGTCAACAGGGTGCTTTGCCTCTTACCTGTGCCCAGGCCAGCACAGCCATCACATTCCCAGCTGGTTATACTGTTCCTCAGGCCAGAGCAGTGCCTGTGGGTGCCCTCGGCAGCACAGGAGGAGCACAGGAGCAGTTCCCAGGGCCTGGGGAAGAAAACGGGTTCATGGAGGTGAGGACAAAGTATCCAAGGCATGGGATTATCTGGCTGAGCTCTTCTCCTGGGTCCTTCTGCTTCAAGCCCTGCAGAGCCCTGGGGTGCAGCTTTGGCAACTTACCCTTCCTCCTCTGCCTCCTGCCTGCCTCTTGGAAAAAGGCACTCACTGGCATCGCAGTGCCTGTGTCTGTCTCCCAGTTCAGCGAACGCATCATTCTCCTCCCATGATGGCTCTCTGATGGAAAAGGGAAAACTGATGAGCTCCCTCTGCCCCGGCATCGGGCAGGTGCAGGGTGTCCCTGCTCTTCCCCCTGTGCCACTTCCAGCTCCTGCGGGAAGCTGAACCCGGGACTCACAGAACAGTGCAGGGCCAGGACTGCTGGGGCAGGCCCTGGCACGGCACAGCACTTGCACCCCCTGTGTTGTGAGCCAGGCAGAAGGACACCAACCTGAAGGGGATTCGGATCCCCATGAGAAACATCTCCACGAGAAATTCCTGAGTGCTTCTGCAGATGGGGCACTGGAAGGATAAAATACCAGAGCGCAGAGCCTGTCCCTGCAGCAGAAACACAAGTAGTGAGAGTGAGGCCCTGGTGCTGCTGAGCCCCTGCTGTGTCCGTGGGGGTGACAGAACCACTCCTACTTGGATGCAGTCCCTGTGGAACCAGGTGGTTTTACAGGCTGGGCACACCAGGGTGCTGAAGGTCTTTCTGTCCTCCACAGGCTCCATGCAGATGAGGCATTCGGTGCCCGGCTCTGGAGTCGCCTCCACTGCCTGCTCTGGGCTGTGTGCGGGGCAGTAGGTCCTGGAGGGAAAAGGGGTGGGTGAGCTGAGAAGTGCTGGGCCCTTCCCTGGTGGTGGCAAGGAGGGGACAGGAGGTACCTGTACGGTGGAATGAACTGGGTGACACAGCGTCCCTGCTTGGCACAGGGCAGGTGGAAGCTCAGGTCACAATCTGTTTCACAGCAGGAGATGGTGGCCCCGCTCTGGCCACAGATGCAGCAGCTCTGGAAAGAGCAGAGCAGCCCCATCAGCAGCAGCCTCAGGGCCTCCTCCTTGTCCCAGAGCTGGTTGGAAGGGCTGGGCTTTCTTGCTTGGGGTCTGGGCTAAGCTCCAGCAAACCTGGCCTGGCACAAACCTCCCTGCTCTTGTCAGGCTCTCACCGTCTGTGCCGCTCGGTTGACTGCATGTAGGATATCCCTTGGGAGAAAGCCAAAGAGTCCTACTCGTTCATTCTCTTGCTGTTCAAGGAGGCTGGCAAAAAACTGAAGGAAAGATGATGCACTGATGATGAGACAGTGTGGTGAGAACTGCCCATTGGAAAGCTGGAGAGAGCCCACGGAGCAACTCACCAGGCAAAACACGTGGGCACAGACCCCATGTTTCTGGATTTTATCTCCACAGATGTCTGGGTCAGCCTCTGATCTCCGACACAGCAGGCATGCTGGAGGGGAGAGAGACAATGGCCCGGGCATGGCACCTGTACTGCCTGCCCTGACAGCCCCTCTGCCAGGCTGAGGGAGGGGCACTTTGCTCTCACCTGGCTCTCTCCCTTCAGGGGCCTCCTCCTTCCCGTCTGACATGGTGACTGTCAGCGGTGGGTCCCTGTCCTTGGAGCACCAAGGTCTCCTCCAGGTGCTCCTACACTGGTACTGAGGCAGAAGTGAGACGAGTTTTCAACACAGGGCCAGAGCCCTGAGGCGTAGAGCCCCCTGACTCGCTCGTCAGCCCTGTGTGAGCCCGGTCTCTCTCTGCCGTCTCTTTCTGTTGTCTGGTTGAGGAACACCGAGGTCTCCTCCAGGTGCTCCTACACTCTCTGTGCAAAAGAAGCGAGAGGCGTTTGCAAAAGAAGGGCTGTCCCTCCTCTTCCTTCTCCTCTCGTTGTCAGGTAACACTGACACTGGGCCTGAGCCCAGAGTCCCGTTTTGTGCCCTTGGCCTCACGGGTCACAGTGGCCACTGTGACATCAGCATCCTGCACCTGAAATACGGGCAGGGATGGCCCCAGCCCACCCCCCCCACTGTGAGGCAGCCCCTTGGTAACCGAGGTTCCGAGGCGGGTCCCGAGCCCTCGGTAAGCACAGAGCCGGGGCGGCTGCTGCTGCAGCAAGCGCAGGCTCAAATGCCAGGCCCTGGGGCAGCCACCGAGGACTCTTGGGCAGCCACTGTTGCACAAAAAGTGCTGTTCAGGCAGTGCCACTCCAGGGCTCCGGCCCTGGCCAAGGCAGATCTCTGCTCCTGCCCCTGGCCCAGGGAACACTGCCAGCACATCAGGGACGCTGATTCCCCAGCAGAGGTGCCTGAGGACTGCAGGAAAGCCGACATCACTGCAGTCTTCAAAAAGGGCAGCAAGATGGACCCAGGAAATGATGGGCCCATCAGTGTCACCTCCATCCCCAGAAAGGGGACAGAACAGCTCATGCTGCATGTCATCTCTAAGCCTGTGGAATAAAAGGAAGGGCAAATCATGCTTGACCAGTCTCCTAGCCTTCTCTGCTGGGGTGACTAGCTGGGTACATGAGGGGAGAGCAGTGCCTGTTGTCTGCCATGACTTCAGCAAGGCTTTTCACCCTGCCTCCCAGAACACCCTCACAGACAGCTCAGGAAGTGTGGCTTAGATGAGTGGACACTGAGGGGGTTGAGACCTGGCTGAATGGCAGAGCTCAGAGGGTTGTGAGCCCAGCGCTCAGTGCTGGGGCCAGCCTCGTTTGACCGGTTGCCCGGTGACCTGGCAGAAGGGACGGAGAGCACCCTCAGCATGTTTGCTGATGATATGGACTGGGAGGAGTGGCTGAGGCACCACAAGGCTCTGCTGCCATCCAGCGAGTCCTGGGCAGGCTGAAGCTTTGGGCACAGAGGCACCTAGTAAATAGCAAAAAAATCCGGTAGCTGGGTCTTTGTCTCGCTGCCTGAATTCAGGCTGGCAGGCAGATTTTAAACCAGCACAGGGCATAGCTGCCCCTTGTGTAAGCACCACACTGCAGCGCAGATTAGAGCCGTAGAAGGGTAGAAGGCTTGGGGTTGGGAGAGCCCTTTAAAGGCCACCCCGTGCAAATCCCACAGCCTCGGGGCTTCCACAGGCAGCCCCAGGGCTCTGGGTAGGGCTCGGCCCACAGATGTGTCTGGGGGACAAGGCTCCTGTGCTGCTGGGAGCCGGATGTTTTTCCCTGAGCTGGTTGGAAGGGATGGGGTTTCTTTCCTGGGCTCTGGGCAGGGCGCAGCTCTGATGTCCTGTCCCACTCGGCAGGTTTGGGGAAAGGTCGATGGATAACCTCTGGATGGCGCACGGTGCAGTTTTTGCCTCCAGGGCAGCGAAGCCCAACCCGCGGCACTCGCCGCTCGCCGTCCTCTCCTGCGCTCCGTTGCGCGGGACCCTCCCCCGCTGGGACCCGCGATCATTTCGGTCCCAAGTTCCGCGCCCGCGCTCCCCTCGGTGCCAGAATGTTCCCGACGCTTTCCCGGGCTCGCGGCGCTCCCTCGTGCCCGAGCGCCGCCACTCCAGCGCCGACCGCGGCCGTTCCCAAAGCGCCGGCCGTGTGCGGGGAGGGCGGGACGGCTCGGGGCGACTGAGTGCGGGGGCTGCCCCGGGCAGAGCTCCCCCTGCGATCCCAGCGCGCTCCCGGCGGGCAGTTTGGAGCCAGGCAGCCATTCCTGCGGGCTCTTAGAGCGGGAAGCGGTCGCCGCTGGGTCACAGCGCACAGATGTGCCTGGGGGACGGGGCTGCCCCGGCAACACCGCCGTGCGCGGGCAGCGGGGCCGCCCTGAGGGGAACCCGCCATGGCACCGCCGGGGCCGCCCCGCACAGCCGGGCTGCGGCTGCCCACACCTGAGGGGAACCCGCCATGGCACCGCCGGGGCCGCCCCGCACAGCCGGGCTGCGGCTGCCCACACCTGAGGGGAACCCGCCATGGCACCGCCGGGGCGCTCCTGCCCCCGGGCCGCCGGCAGCAGGGACAGGACGGGGCTGCCAACACCCCGCCACTGCTTCCCTGCCTTCAGTGCATCAAGGCGGTGGCACCGCTGGATTGCAAAACATTCCAAACGTCTCCCTTGCAACACCAAGGGGAAACCATAGAATAGGAAGGAAAGGAAAGCTGGGCCAAAAGCCAAGGGGGATGAAAGGGAAACCTGCACAAAGATACTACTAAGCCTTGGGCTTTGCAATAGCCTCCAACGTGTCAGGTGAAACATTAGGATGAAACAATCTACTAAACGCTGCGACATCGAAAGTGCCATTTGCATAATTTTGCAAATACACAAAAATATTTTAAAAAGCAGTCCTATACATTTATTGAAGGGATTTGATAAGTTGCTGACAGAACCAGTTTCACGTCTGTGATGTTCTTCATGCTTCCTGGATGGGGGTGCATCTCCCAGCACTTGGGGCTGCCACACGGCTCCTGTCACGGCAACTTCTAGATTGGCTGCATTAATTTGGAGTCTGATGTTGCTGGTTTTGCCTTTGGGATGTCCTCGCTTCTTCCTGGCCGCTGTTGCACCTCCCAGCCCTTGGTGATCTCACGTGGCTCCTGTCACGATGACTTCTGGACTGGCTCTGTGTATTGGGGGTCTGATATTGCTGCCAGAAGTGGTTTCGCTTGCAGGATGTCTCTGTTTGTGCCCGGCTCTGGAGTCGCCTCCACTGCCTGCTCTGAGCTGTGTGCGGGGCAGTAGGAGCTGGGGGGAAAAGGGGTGGGTGAGCTGAGAAGTGCTGGGCCCTTCCCTGGTGCTGGCAAGGAGGGGACAGGAGGTACCTGTACAGTGGAATGAACTGGGTGGCACAGCCTCCCTGCTTGGCACAGGGCAGGTGGAAGCTCAGGTCACAATCTGTTTCCCAGCAGGAGATGGTGGCCCCGCTCTGGCCACAGATGCAGCAGCTCTGGAAAGAGCAGAGCAGCCCCATCAGCTGCAGCCTCAGGGCCTCCTCCTTGTCCCAGAGCTGGTTGGAAGGGCTGGGCTTTCTTGCTTGGGGTCTGGGCTAAGCTCCAGCAAACCTCGCCTGGCACAAATCTCCCTGCTCTTCTCAGGCTCTCACCTTCTGTGCTGCCTGGGAGACTACATCTAGGATATCCCTTGGGAGAAAGCCCTGGAATCCTACTTGATCATCATTGTGCAGAGGAAGGTGGCTGGCAAAAACCTGTAGAAAAAAGGACACGTACTGATGAGGAGAGAGTGGCAGGGACTACCTGTCAAAACATGAAGCGACTCACCCGGCAGAACTCGTGGAAACAGAGCCCATTTATCTGGATTTCTTCTCTACACGTCCGGGTCAGCCTCTGGTCGTCCACACAGCTGGCATGCTGGAGGGGAGAGAGACCATGGCACCTCTGCCAGGCTGGGGCAGCTTCCCTGCAGGATTGACCCCAAGGGCTGCTCTGTCCCTGCCTGGCTGGCTGAAGGGCAGGGCTGGAGGCCTTGGGGAGGACAGGACATTGTGGGCACGGGTGTCCCAGCAGGTGTCCCTGCCCCAGCTGGACCCCGCTTGCTGAGGAAAGGAGGGTCCCAGCCCCGGGATGCCTGGACAGCTCCTGCCTCCCCGTGCCACTGCTCCTGCCCCCACGCTGGCCGCCCCGACAGCCCCTCTGCCAGGCTGCGGGAGGGGCACTTTGCTCTCACCTGGCTCCCTCCCTTCGGGTGCTCCTCCTCCCTGTCTGACGTGGGATGTGTCAGCAGTGGGTCCCTGTCTCACCGTCCCACTGGTGAGTGGAGCTCCCAGCACTGGGTGCTCTAACACAGCTCCTGTCACGGTGACTTCAGGATCTGCTGGATGAATTTGGGGTCTGACACTGCTGGTGGGAGCGGATTCGCCTGCAGTCAGGACTCCGACTGCTGGAGCAGCTGCTGTCCTCAGTTGCTGGGAAGCTGCTCTGGGATGACCCCAATGTTACCTGACTGTCAGGGCCGGAGCGGCTCGTCTTTTGTGAGAGGGATTTCAGAGTCTCCTCCGATGTTGCCTGTCGGTTTGTATGGAGTTTGCTTGTACTGAGGGTGATGGTCTCATATTCCTTGGTGTTGTCAGAAGAGTCCTTCATGAGAGCAACAAGCTCTGGGTCTTAACTGGACGCTGTAAGGGGAAGCAGGAGGGTCAAGGCCACACCAGGCCTGGGTCAAGATCGGCCAGAGCTGTGTCTCCAGTCCTCCTGGAGCAGACAGGCTCTGCCAAGCCAATCCTGGACACCCGTTGCCAGGCCCAGGGGCACCAGGCCCAGGGTCATCAGGGTGCTTTGCCTTTTACCTGTGCCCAGACCAGCACAGCCATCACATTCCCAGCTGGTTATGATGTCCCTCAGGCCAGAGCAGTGCCTGTGGGTGCCCTCAGCAGCACAGGAGGAGCACAGGAGCAGTTCCCAGGGCCTGGGGAAGCAAACAGGTTCATGGAGGTGAGGACAAAGTGTCCAAAGCATGGGATTATCTGGCTGAGCTCTTCTCCTGGGTCCTTCTGCTTCTAGCCCTGCAGAGCCCCAGGGTGCAGCTTTGGCAACTTACCCCTGTCCCTCTGCCTCCTGCCTGCCTCCTGGAAAAAGGCACTCACTGGCATCGCAGTGCCTGTGTCTGTCTCCCAGTTCATTGAATGCAGTATGGTTCTCCATGATGGTGATCTGATGGGAAAAGAAAAACTGATGAGCTCCCTCTGTCCTGGCATCGGGCAGGTGCAGGGTGTCCCTGCTCTTCCCCCTGTGCCATCCCAGCAGGAGATGGTGGCCCCGCTCTGGCCACAGATGCAGCAGCTCTGGAAAGAGCAGAGCAGCCCCATCAGCTGCAGCCTCAGGGCCTCCTCCTTGTCCCAGAGCTGGTTGGAAGGGCTGGGCTTTCTTGCTTGGGGTCTGGGCTAAGCTCCAGCAAACCTCGCCTGGCACAAATCTCCCTGCTCTTGTCAGGCTCTCACCTTCTGTGCTGCCTGGGAGACTAAATCTAGGATATCCCTTTGGAGAAAGCCCTGGAGTACTACTTGATCATCATTGTGCTGAGCAAGGTGGCTGGCAAAAAACTGTAGAAAAAAGGACATGTACTGATGAGGAGAGAGTGGCAGGGACTACCTGTCAAAACATGGAGGGAGCCCACATAGCAACTCACCAGGCAGAACTCGTGGGCACAGAGCCCATTTATCTGGTGATTTTCCCCACAGATGTCCCGGTCAGCCTCTGATCTCCGACACAGCAGGCATGCTGGAGGGGAGAGAGACCATGGCCCGGGCATGGCACCTGTACTGCCTGCCCTGACAGCCCCTCTGCCAGGCTGAGGGAGGGGCACTTTGCTCTCACCTGGTAACCTCACTTCGGGGGGCTCCTCCTTCCATTCTGATGTGGGACGTGTCAGTGGTGGGTCCCTGTCTCACCGTCCCACTGGTGAGTGGAGCTCCCAGCACTGGGTGCTCTAACACGGCTCCTGTCAAGGCAACTTCTGGATCCGCTGGATGAATTTGAGGTCCGACGCTGCTGGCGGGAGTGCTGTTGCCTTTGGGATGTCCTGGCTACTGTCTCCCTTGAGTTTCGCCTGCCAGCACTCGGTGCTGGTGTGCAGTTCCTGTCAAGGGGACTTCTGGACCGGCCGGATGGATCTGGGGTCTCACGTTGCAGGCGGGAGCGGTTTCGCCTGCGGGATGTCCCTGATGGTCTCGGCCTGGGCCTGCACCTCCCAGGACTTGGTGCTGTCACATGGGTCCTGTCCAGGGGACTTCTGGACCGAAGATGTGGATTTTGGGCCCAATGTTGCCGGCGGGGGTGGTTTTGCCGGCGGTCAGGCCCCCGACTGCTGGAGCTGCTGCTGTCCTCACTTTCTGTGAAGGTGCTCTGGGATGACCCCGATGTTACTTGACTGTCAGGACTGGAGCTGCTCGTCTCCTGTGAGGGAGTTTGCAGAGACTGCTCCCATGTTGTCTGTCGGTTGGTACGGTGGTTGCTCGTCTGTGGTGCTGAAGAGACAGGGGCAGGCACCTGGGCGCTGGTGCTGGGGCTGATGGTGTCCAGTGGTGCAGAACTGGGAGACAGCCCTGGTAGTACGAGGATGCCTGCGTTGGTGCTGGTGGTCTGGGGTTCCCTGGAGACATCAGAAGGCTCCAGTCCTGACAGTCAGGCCATGCTGGGGCCAGCAAGCTCCAAGTCATCTTTGGAGGCTGGAAGGGGAAGCAGGAATGTCAAGGCCACCCCAGACCTGGGGCAGGATAGGCCAGAGCAGTGCCCCCAGCCCTCCTGGAGCAGACAGGCTCTGCCAAACCCACCCTGAGCACCCACTGCCAGCCCCTGCCTGGCACCTGGCCAAGGGGAACACGAGTGCTTTGGAAAAGAGGGTCTCAGTCCCGGGATGCCTGGACAGCTCCTGCCTCCCCCTGCCACCGCTCCCAGCCCCACGCTGGCCACCCTGACAGCCCCTTTGCCAGGCTGCAGGAGGGGCACTTTGCTCTCACCTGGCTCCCTCCCTTTGGGGGCCTCCTCCTTCCTGTCTGACATGTAACGCATCAGTGGGGAGTCCCTGTCTCACCGTCTGAGCGGTGAGTGGGGCTCCCAGCACTGGGTGCTCTATCACGCCTCCCGTCACGGCGACTTCTGGATCTGCTGGATGAGTCTGAGGTCCGACGCTGCTGGCGGGAGTGCTGTTGTCTGTGGGAAGTCCTTACTGCTGTCTCCCTTGAGTTTCGCCTGCCAGCACTCGGTGCTGGCGTGCAGTTCCTGTCAAGGGGACTTCTGGACCGACCAGATGTATTTGAGGTCCGACTTTGGCGGCGGGAGCTATTTCGCCTGCGGGATGTCCCTGATTCTTCCTGGCTGGGCCTGCGCCTCCCAGTACTTGGTGTTGGGACATGGCTCCTGTCACGGCGACTTCTGGACCGAAGGCGTGGATTTTGCGGCCGACGTTGCTGGCGGGAGCGGTTTCGGCTGCGGGATGTCTCTGATGCTTCGTGGGTGGAGGTGCAGCTCCCAGCCCTTGGTGTTCTCACATGGCTCCCGTGACGTCGACTTCTGGACCGAAGGTGTGGATTTTGGGGCCGACGTTGCTGGCGGGAGCGGTTTCGGTTGCTGGATGTCTCTGATGCCTCCTCGCTGTGGCTGCGCCTCCGAGGACTCGGTGGTGGTGGCAAACAAATCCTGTCATGGGGACTCGGGGACCGGAGTTGTGGTGAACATCTCCTGTCATAGGGACTTGGGTACCGAAGGTGTGGATTTTGGGGACGACTTTGCCGGCGGGAGTGTCTTCGTCTGCGGGATGTCCCTGACTGTCTCTCCCTGGGCCTGCACCTCGCAGCAGTTGGTTCCGGCACATGGCTCCTGTCCAGGGGACTTCTGGACCGATGTGGATTTTGGGGCCGACTTTGCCGGCGGGTACGGTTTTGCCAGCGGTCAGGCCTCCGACTGCGAGAGCAGCTGCTGTCCTCAGTTTCTGCGATGTTGCTGTGGGATGGCCTTGATGTTACCCGACTATAGAGGCTGGGGCTGCTTGTCTCCTCTGAGGGAGATTCCAGAGACTGCTCTGATGCTGCCTGTTGGCTGGTGCTGGGGTTGATGGTCTCGTCTTCTGCTGACACAGCAGGAGACTCCTCCATGAGTCTAGCAAGGATTGAGAATTCACTGGAGGCTGTAAGGGGAAGCAAGGAAGGTCAAGACCGCCCCAGGCCCAAGGCAGAATAAGCCAGAGCAGTGCCCTGAGCCCTCCTGGAGCTGACAGGCTCTGCCAAGACCACCGTGGGCACGCATTGCCAGGCCCAGGGGCACCTGACCCAGGGCCATTCAGGTGCTTTGCTTCTTACATGTGAAGTGCTCAGCACAGCTGTCACAATCACAGTTGTCCATGCAGACTGTCGTGCCACGGCGTCTGCGGCTGCTCTGGCGAGCACAGTTGTCACATTCCCAGCCGGATATGGTGTTCCGCACACTAGAGCAGTATCTGTGGGTGCCCTCCGCAGCACAGGAGGAGCACAGGAGCAGTTCCCAGGGCCTGGAAAAGCAATCAGGTTCATGGAGGTGAGGACAAAGTGTCCAAAGTGTGGGAGTATCTGGCTGAGCTCTTCTTCTGGGTCCTTCTGCTTCAAGCCCTGCAGAGCCCCAGGATGCAGCTGCAGCAACTTACCCCTCCTCCTCTGCCTCCTGCCTGCCTCTTGGATAAAAGCACTCACTGGCATCACAGCGCCTGTGTCTGTCTAACAGCTCAGCGAACGCATCATTCTCCTCCCATGTTGGTGGTCTGATGGGAAAAGGAAAACTGATGAGCTCCCTCTGTTCTGGCATCGGGCAGGTGCAGGGTGTCCCTGCTCTTCCCCCTGTGCCATTTCCAGCTCCTGCGGGAAGCTGAACCTGGGACTCACGGAACAGGGCAGGGCCAGGACTGCTGGGGCAGGCCCTGGCACGGCACAGCACTTGCACCCCCTGTGTTGTGAGCCAGGCAGAAGGACACCAACCTGAAGGGGATTCGGATCCCCATGGTGAACATCTCCCCAAGAAATGCCGGCCTGTTTCTGCAGATGGGGCACTGGAAGGAGGAAAATCCAGAGCGCAGAGCCTGTCCCTGCAGGACAAACACAAGTAGTGAGAGTGAGGCCCTGGTGCTGCTGAGCCCCTGCTGTGCCCCCCGGGTTAGGGAACCACTCCTACTTGGATGCAGTCCCTGTGGAACCAGGTGGTTTTACAGGCTGGGCACACCATGGTGTTGAATGTCTTTCTGTCCTCCACAGGCTCCATGCAGATGAGGCATTCGGTGCCTGGCTCTGGAGTCGCCTCCACTGCCTGCTCTGGGCTGTGTGCCGGGCAGTAGGAGCTGGGGGGAAAAGGGGTGGGTGAGCTGAGAAGTGCTGGGCCCTTCCCTGGTGGTGGCAAGGAGGGGACAGGAGGTACCTGTACGGTGGAATGAACTGGGTGACACAGCGTCCCTGCTTGGCACAGGGCAGGTGGAAGCTCAGGTCACAATCTGTTTCACAGCAGGAGATGGTGGCCCCGCTCTGGCCACAGATGCAGCAGCTCTGGAAAGAGCAGAGCAGCCCCATCAGCAGCAGCCTCAGGGCCTCCTCCTTGTCCCAGAGCTGGTTGGAAGGGCTGGGCTTTCTTGCTTGGGGTATGGGCTAAGCTCCAGCAAACCTCGCCTGGCACAGATTTCCCTGCACTTGTCAGGCTCTCACCGTCTGTGCTGCTCGGTTGACTGCATGTAGGATATCCCTTGGGAGAAAGCCCTGGAGTCCTACTCGTTCATTCTCTTGCTGTTCAAGGATGCTGGCAAAATACTGCAGGAAAAGGACACGCACTGATGAGCAGAGAGTGGCAGGGACTGCCTGTCAAAAAGTGGAGGGAGCCCACGGAGCAACTCACCAGGCAGAACACGTGGGCACAGATCCCATGTTTCTGGAGTTTTTCCCCGCAGATGTCCGGGTCAGCCTCTGATCGCTGACACAGCAGGCATGCTGGAGGGGAGAGAGACAATGGCCCCGGGCATGGCACCTGTACTGCCTGCCCTGACAGCCCCTCTGCCAGGCTGAGGGAGGGGCACTTTGCTCTCACCTGGCTCCCTCCCTCTGGGGGCCTCCTCCTCCCTGTCTGACATGGTGACTGTCAGCGGTGGGTGTCTGTCCTTGGAGCACCTCCAGGTGCTCCTACACTAGTTCTGAGGCAGAAGTGAGACGAGTTTTCAACACAGGGCCAGAGCCCTGAGGCGTAGAGCCCCCTGACTCGCTGGTCAGCCCTGTGTGAGCCCGGTCTCTCTCTGCTGTCTCTTCCTGTTGTCTGGTTGAGGAACACCAAGGTCTCCTCCAGGTGCTCCTCCACTGGTACTGAGGCAGAAGTGAGACGAGTTTTCAACACAGGGCCAGAGCCCTGAGGCGTAGAGCCCCCTGACTCGCTGGTCAGCCCTGTGTGAGCCCGGTCTCTCTCTGCCGTCTCTTTCTATCGTCTGGTTGAGGAACACTGAGGTCTCCTCCAGGTGCTCCTACACTCTCTGTGCAAAAGAAGCGAGAGGCGTTTGCAAAAGAAGGGCTGTCCCTCCTCTTCCTTCTCCTCTCGTTGTCAGGTAACACTGACACTGGGCCTGAGCCCAGAGTCCCGTTTTGTGCCCTTGGCCTCACGGGTCACAGTGGCCACTGTGACATCAGCATCCTGCACCTGAAATACGGGCAGGGATGGCCCCAGCCCACCCCCCCCACTGTGAGGCAGCCCCTTGGTAACCGAGGTTCCGAGGCGGGTCCCGAGCCCTCGGTAAGCACAGAGCCGGGGCGGCTGCTGCTGCAGCAAGCGCAGGCTCAAATGCCAGGCCCTGGGGCAGCCACCGAGGACTCTTGGGCAGCCACTGTTGCACAAAAAGTGCTGTTCAGGCAGTGCCACTCCAGGGCTCCGGCCCTGGCCAAGGCAGATCTCTGCTCCTGCCCCTGGCCCAGGGAACACTGCCAGCACATCAGGGACGCTGATTCCCCAGCAGAGGTGCCTGAGGACTGCAGGAAAGCCGACATCACTGCAGTCTTCAAAAAGGGCAGCAAGATGGACCCAGGAAATGATAGGCCCATCAGTGTCACCTCCATCCCCAGAAAGGGGACAGAACAGCTCATGCTGCATGTCATCTCTAAGCCTGTGGAATAAAAGGAAGGGCAAATCATGCTTGACCAGTCTCCTAGCCTTCTCTGCTGGAGTGACTGGCTGGGTACATGAGGGGAGAGCAGTGCAACCTCTGGATGGCGCACGGTGCAGTTTTTGCCTCCAGGGCAGCGAAGCCCAACCCGCGGCACTCGCCGCTCGCCGTCCTCTCCTGCGCTCCGTTGCGCGGGACCCTCCCCCGCTGGGACCCGCGATCATTTCGGTCCCAAGTTCCGCGCCCGCGCTCCCCTCGGTGCCAGAATGTTCCCGACGCTTTTCCCGGGCTCGCGGCGCTCCCTCGAGCCCGAGCGCCGCCACTCCAGCGCCGACCGCGGCCGTTCCCAAAGCGCCGGCCGTGTGCGGGGAGGGCGGGACGGCTCGGGGCGACTGAGTGCGGGGGCTGCCCCGGGCAGAGCTCCCCCTGCGATCCCAGCGCGCTCCCGGCGGGCAGTTTGGAGCCAGGCAGCCATTCCTGCGGGCTCTTAGAGCGGGAAGCGGTCGCCGCTGGGTCACAGCGCACAGATGTGCCTGGGGGACGGGGCTGCCCCGGCAACACCGCCGTGCGCGGGCAGCGGGGCCGCCCTGAGGGGAACCCGCCATGGCACCGCCGGGGCCGCCCCGCACAGCCGGGCTGCGGCTGCCCACACCTGAGGGGAACCCGCCATGGCACCGCCGGGGCCGCCCCGCACAGCCGGGCTGCGGCTGCCCACACCTGAGGGGAACCCGCCATGGCACCGCCGGGGCGCTCCTGCCCCCGGGCCGCCGGCAGCAGGGACAGGACGGGGCTGCCAACACCCCGCCACTGCTTCCCTGCCTTCAGTGCATCAAGGCGGTGGCACCGCTGGATTGCAAAACATTCCAAACGTCTCCCTTGCAACACCAAGGGGAAACCATAGAATAGGAAGGAAAGGAAAGCTGGGCCAAAAGCCAAGGGGGATGAAAGGGAAACCTGAACAAAGATACTAAGCCTTGGGCTTTGCAATAGCCTCCAACGTGTCAGGTGAAACATTAGGATGAAACAATCTACTAAACGCTGCGACATCGAAAGTGCCATTTGCATAATTTTGCAAATACACAAAAATATTTTAAAAAGCAGTCCTATACATTTATTGAAGGGATTTGATAAGTTGCTGACAGAACCAGTTTCACGTCTGTGATGTTCTTCATGCTTCCTGGATGGGGGTGCATCTCCCAGCACTTGGGGCTGCCACACGGCTCCTGTCACGGCAACTTCTAGATTGGCTGCATTAATTTGGAGTCTGACGTTGCTGGTTTTGCCTTTGGGATGTCCTCGCTTCTTCCTGGCCGCTGTTGCACCTCCCAGCCCTTGGTGATCTCACGTGGCTCCTGTCACGATGACTTCTGGACTGGCTCTGTGTATTGGGGGTCTGATATTGCTGCCAGAAGTGGTTTCGCTTGCAGGATGTCTCTGTTTGTGCCTGGCTCTGGAGTCACCTCCACTGCCTGCTCTGGGCTGTGTGCGGGGCAGTAGGAGCTGGGGGGAAAAGGGGTGGGTGAGCTGAGAAGTGCTGGGCCCTTCCCTGGTGGTGGTGAGAAGGAGACAGGAGGTACCTGTACGGTGGAATGAACTGGGTGACACAGTGTCCCTGCTTGGCACAGGGCAGGTGGAAGCTCAGGTCACAATCTGTTTCACAGCAGGAGATGGTGGCCCCGCTCTGGCCACAGATGCAGCAGCTCTGGAAAGAGCAGAGCAGCCCCATCAGCAGCAGCCTCAGGGCCTCCTCCTTGTCCCAGAGCTGGTTGGAAGGGCTGGGCTTTCTTGCTTGGGGTCAGGGCTAAGCTCCAGCAAACCTCGCCTGGCACAAATCTCCCTGCTCTTCTCAGGCTCTCACCTTCTGTGCTTCCCGGGAGACTACATCTAGGATATCCCTTGGGAGAAAGCCCTGGAATCCTACTTGATCATCATTGTGCAGAGGAAGGTGGCTGGCAAAAACCTGTAGAAAAAAGGACACGTACTGATGAGGAGAGAGTGGCAGGGACTACCTGTCAAAACATGAAGCAACTCACCCGGCAGAACTCGTGGAAACAGAGCCCATTTATCTGGATTTTTTTCTCCACACGTCCGGGTCAGCCTCTGATCTTCCACACAGCTGGCATGCTGGAGGGGAGAGAGACCATGGTACCTCTGCAGGGCTGGGGCAGCTTCCCTGCGGGATTGACCCCAAGGGCTGCTCTGTGCCTGCCTGGCTGGCTGAAGGGCAGGGCTGGAGGCCTTGGGGAGGACAGGACATTGTGGGCACGGGTGTCCCAGCAGGTGTCCCCTGCCCCAGCTGGGCCCCGCTTGCTGAGGAAAGGAGGGTCCCAGCCCCGGGATGCCTGGACAGCTCCTGCCTCCCCGTGCCACTGCTCCTGGCCCCACGCTGGCCGCCCCGACAGCCCCTCTGCCAGGCTGCGGGAGGGGCACTTTGCTCTCACCTGGCTCCCTCCCTTCGGGTGCTCCTCCTCCCTGTCTGATGTGGGACGTGTCAGCGGTGGGTCCCTGTCTCACCATCCCACTGGTGAGTGGAGCTCCCAGCACTGGGTGCTCTAACACAGCTCCTGTCACGGTGACTTCAGGATCTGCTGGATGAATTTGGGGTCTGACACTGCTGGTGGAAGCGGTTTCACCTGCAGTCAGGACTCCGACTGCTGGAGCAGCTGCTGTCCTCAGTTGCTGGGAAGCTGCTCTGGGATGACCCCAATGTTACCTGACTGTCAGGGCTGGAGCGGTTCGTCTTTTGTGAGAGGGATTTCAGAGTCTCCTCCGATGTTGCCTGTCGGTTTGTATGGAGTTTGCTTGTACTAGGGGTGATGGTCTTGTATTCCTTGGAGTTGTCAGAAGAGTCCTTCATGAGAGCAACAAGCTCTGGGTCTTAACTGGAGGCTGTAAGGGGAAGCAGGAGGGTCAAGGCCACTCCAGGCCTGGGTCAAGATCGGCCAGAGCTGTGTCTCCAGTCCTCCTGGAGCAGACAGGCTCTGCCAAGCCAACCCTGGACACCCATTGCCAGGCCCAGGGGCACCAGGCCCAGGGTCAGCAGGGTGCTTTGCCTTTTACCTGTGCCCAGACCAGCACAGCCATCACATTCCCAGCTGGTTATGATGTCCCTCAGGCCAGAGCAGTGCCTGGGGGTGCCCTCGGCAGCACAGGAGGAGCACAGGAGCAGTTCCCAGGGCCTGGGGAAGCAAACGGGTTCATGGAGGTGCTGAGCTCTTCTCCTGGGTCCTTCTGCTTGAAGCCCTGCAGAGCCCTGGGGTGCAGCTTTGGCAACTTACCCCTCCTCCTCTGCCTCCTGCCTGCCTCCTGGAAAAAGGCACTCACTGGCATCGCAGCGCCTGTGTCTGTCTCCTAGCTGGGCAAATGCATTAAAGCCCTCCCCTCATGGTGGTCTGATGGGAAAAGGAAAAGTGATGAGCTCCCTCTGCCCTGGCATTGGGCAGGTGCAGGGTGTCCCTGCTCTTCCCCCTGTGCCATCCCAGCAGGAGATGGTGGCCCCGCTCTGGCCACAGATGCAGCAGCTCTGGAGAGAGCAGAGCAGCCCCATCAGCTGCAGCCTCAGGGCCTCCTCCTTGTCCCAGAGCTGGTTGGAAGGGCTGGGCTTTCTTGCTTGGGGTCTGGGCTAAGCTCCAGCAAACCTCTCCTGGCACAAATCTCCCTACTCTTCTCAGGCTCTCACCTTCTGTGCCACTCGGTTGACTGCATGTAGGATATCCCTTGGGAGAAAGCCCTGGAGTTGTACTTGATCATCGTTGTGCAGAGGAAGGTGGCTGGTAAAAAACTGTAGAAAAAAGGACATGCACTGATGAGGAGAGAGTGGCAGGGACTGCCTGTCAAAAAATGGAGGGAGCCCACAGAGCAACTCACCAGGCAGAACTTGTGGGCACAGATCCCATGTTTCTGCATTTTCTCCCCACAGATGTCCAGGTCAGCCGCTGATCTCCGACACAGCAGGCATGCTGGAGGGGAGAGAGACCATGGCCCGGGCATGGCACCTGTACTGCCCGCCCTGACAGCCCCTCTGCCAGGCTGAGGGAGGGGCACTTTGCTCTCACCTGGCTCTCTCCCTTCCGGGCCTCCTCCTCCCTGTCTGACGTGGGATGTGTCAGTGGTGGGTCCCTGTCTCACCGTCCCACCGGTGAGTGCGCCTGGCAGTACTTGGTGCTCTAACTCGGCTCCTGTCATGTGGACTTCTGGATCTGGTGGATGAGTTCCGGGTCCGACGCTGCTGGCGGGAGTGCTGTTGCCTTTGGGAAGTCCTGACTGCTGTCTCCCTTGAGTTTCGCCTGCCAGCACTCGGTGCTGGTGTGCAGTTCCTGTCAAGGGGACTTCTGGACCGGCCGGATGGATTTGCAGTCTGACGTTGCAGGCGGGAGCGGTTTCGCCTGCGGGATGTCCCTGATGCTTCGTGGCTGGGGATGCGGCTCCCAGGACTTGGTGCTCTCACACAGTTTCTATCACGGCGACTTCTGGACCGGCCAGATGGATCTGGGGCCTGATGTTGTTGGCGGGAGCGATTTTGGTTGCGGGATGTCCT